TTCCTTGCCTTTAAAGGAGTGCCCTTTGCTGTGCTGATGTTGCTACATGCCTTACTTCTTGCCTATCTCACACTGCGAATTTTTTCTAAGCTCTATACTAAACATTAAATCGGTTACAAAAAAAGAACTAAACAAAATGAACACAAAACGATCAGCTTTAAAAAAGGAATCGTAACTGGAAAAAACAAATGAAAAAAGAATGTTAACAACAAATACTTTTTCACACTCAACCTAGTTCTGCGGAATCAGAATCAACATTGAGTTTAAGCAAGCGAATAAGCTAATTGGAGTAAAATTCCATGCAGATTTAAATTTTTTCCACTTGTGACGAATGCAGCTATCGATTTGTTTTGCATGCTAGCATGCTAGTTAACATTCGTGTCAGTCAGCTGTTGGCTCTCACGCTGGCCAATAGAATCTTCCTGCTTATTCGTGACAGCCAGCTATAGGCTCTCACTCTAGCTAGTACAAAATGGCCGCAAACTAAATGAAAACTGCCGTAGAAGCATGAAAAAATCGATTATTTCCACTATCGATGGGAGTTGGGAAATGCAAAGTCGGTCTTGGCCTTCCGCTGACTTGAAGCATGTGCATGTAAATTTTGGTGCAAATCCGTCGAAAATTGCGGCTGTGCATTCGTTAAACACACACACACACACACACACACACACACACACACACACACACACACACGCACATCCTTCTCAGAAATAGCTCTTGATCTCATTCGTTGTCTGTCTTTCTCATCTTCATAATCTGCACTATCTAGCTGATCCTTTTACATTCATACAACATGCATTATTCAGTAACCTACTACCTTGAAGCCCTTCGGCACGGAAACAGATACTACATCTGCAGCATCATCCCGCACTTCTCATCTGCTATTCCCTCCAGAAGAAAGCACTGGAAAGAGAAGCACTGGGCCATGTGTCTTGGAGAATTTCTAAGGGCAATTAATTGAAACTGAGATATCTAAAAACAGGGATGGCAAATGAAATTAGAACAATCTATCACCGTGGATTAAATAAAGTGTTCTGTTCGAAATTCTAATGTATATCACCTGTTGAAGGCCGGAGCGTAGAACGGTCGAAACATTGTGAATATTGCAATGAGGACAACAGTTCAAACGAAGGAAATAGTGTAAATAGTTACAATACTTCATCGTAGAAATATAGACAGATCATAACAAAAGGTAGGAAAATGGGAATAATACATTTTTATACAATGTATATTAGAAAAGGAAGACTCGTTGGCACAGTTGCCAAAAAAAAGAAAAAAAAGAAAGAGAATTCGACTGTAAATGACCAGGCAATGGATAAAAATATTCTTAAAGAGATAAATGGCTACCCAATTCAAGTGACTTGTATATCACATTTCTATCTCAGCCTCATGAAAGTCCATTGGTAGATACAGCTCTCCTCCAGATTTATCGAGAGGAATAGGTTATTGCCCTCTAGCGCTGGGCCAATGCCTGTTAGCAGGGGGTGTGTAGTGATTTTCCAAGCGTCACTCAGATGTGGCACAAGGCCGAAAGTATGGGACACCCAGTGGGGATCGAACTCACTACTCAGTCGTAATTGATCTTGCGAGACAAGCTTGTCTCGCAAGATCAATTACACCATAACCATTACACCATTTCGAGGTGCCCTTAGCACGGGTGGGGGACGGATGTGACACACTTAGGCGATCATGTCTCTTTTCGATTCATGATCGCCCAAGAGTATTTGCACGTAAGTGAATGTACCGGACCCGACTGGAATTGGAACTCGATTCGCGGATTCCGCCTTCGTAGTCGTCATCCATTACACCACCCGCACATCGTACACCCAAGCATACAGCACCCGGTATTCCCAAGCGGTCACCCATGTAGGTATTGACAAAGCTAGACGTTGCTTAACTTCGGTGATCCGTCTAGTGTTTGAACGTGATAAATCCATATCGCATTTTTTAAAATATTATTCGTTAACTTTTAACCCTGCTGCTGATAGAAAGTGCGAATGTCATAATTTATTAAGCTTAACTTAGTTTGGCACAAGGCAAAAAGTATGAGGATTAAGCTCATTCTACTGGTCAAGTTCTCTAACTATTACGGTAATGTCAGTGAGCTGCTATGTAATATCTCGACTTATATACGGCAGTTGGGTTTGTTTTGTTTTACGGCATATCAACCTCAACGGATTATTTATTGCTGACAAGATTTTTATTGCTGGTAATATTTTTTTTTCCAAAATGTATTGCTGGTAATTTTCTTTCCAAAAAAGTATTGCTGTCATTAAAACCTATTTTTATACTGTCATAGTGTTTTGATCTCTTGGGAGGGTAACTAATTGCCCATAGTTAGGACTCGGACAGGTGCTATCACCCCATGTCATGGTGGACTTGGGGAAAACAGCAAGTAAGAGGTGGTTCCACACCCCTCAAAACCTTCTGATAAAAGGCCTTGCTGTCGGATGTAGTTTATCGTCTTTCTCAGGACGCGGATGTAGTTTATCGTCATAACTAGGACGGCATATATACGGCAGTGAATACGGAACAATCTCTGTATTTGATTGCTGATAAATACATTTTCTACTGTTATTTTAAGATTGTAAGATATTTTTTTTTGAGATAATGGTTTGGTAAAACAGGTATTACTAATTAACCCATAGCTTGGAGAAAAGTTGGCTTTGATCAGGTTAAGATTGTAGCGATCGGGGAAACATCCCGTTGGATTTCGGTTCTACAGGGCAGTGGTTCGCAGGAAGAATCTGATCGAGTGGAATTGATGGAATACGGAGGGAATGTGGCTGGGGTTTGCTACTGTGAAAGTGGCATGGCGTGTTCTTGCCGTGAAGGTTTAAGTTTGGAAAACCAGGGAATGTAGTTCGTTCGATCACTTTCCGTGCAAGTAGTGGCAGAGCAGCGATAGGCTTGCCACATCTCTCGTGTGGGAGAGATGTTAAAGGGTGGACAATTATTCGTCACTCACAACGGCTCGGGAACGCTTTTGGACTCTATCAAGGCTCGTGGGTGATGTCTGGGTAGCTCCCACCCAAATATGACAAGAATATCTCATTTTTTTTTATCACATAAGACTGTAACGATCGGGGAAACATCCCGTTGGAATTCGGTTCTACAGGACAGTGGTTTGCAGGAAGAATCTACTCGAGTGGAACTTACATCTCAATGATGGAATACGGAGGGAATGTAGGTGGGGTTTGCTACTATGTAAGTGGCGTGGCGGGTCCTAGCCGTGAAGGTTTAAGTTTGGAAGGCCAGGAAATGTAGTTCGTTCGATCACTTTCCGTGCAAATAGTGGCAGAGCAGCGATAGGCTTGCCACATCTCTCGTGTGGGAGAGATGTTAAAGGGTGGACGATTATTCGTCACTCACAACGGCTCGGAAACGCTTTTGGACTCTATCAAGGCTCGTGGGTGAGGTCTGGGCAGATCCCATCCAAATATGACAAGAATATCACATTTTTTTTTATCACATACTTTTGTGTAATCTATGAAACAACAAACAACGCAAAAGGAGACTGTTGTTTTGAGAATCTGTTCTTGTAGACATACTAAACCTTAGGTATTTTTGACTTGCCTCGTCGCAAGAAGATGATGCCTCCTTGTGACTGTGTTCTGAATTTTAATAAAGACATGTATATTTCATATTGCAAAAAAAACAAAACAAAAAAAACGAAAACCATTATCCCTCATATTTTTCTTTTTTTTACCATTGGTCCTTGAAGTTTTTGTAACAGACAACAAATCCATCTTCAAAAAACAAAACAAAAAAAATAAAAATAACTAAAAACAAAACTAAATATCACCCAATAGGAGGCTCAAGAGACAATCAGTCTAGAGGATTGTAGTCGGAATGGAATGAAAACACAGCAGAATGTGTAGGATCATCAGAATGAGAAAGGTGGTAACGATTGAATAAAGACATGTATTTCATATTGCAAAGAATAAAACATATATTTCAGACATGTATTTCATACTGCAAGAAATAAAAGAAAGAAAAAAAAAACGAAAAAACATTTTCCCTCATATTTTTCTTTTTTTTTTAACATTGGTCTTCGAAATTTTTGTAACAGACAGCAAATCTATCATTAAAAAACAAAAAAAAACTAAAACAAAACAAACAAAGCATCACCAAATACGAGGCTCCAGAGCCACTCAGTCTAGAGGATTATAGTCGAAATTGAATGAAAAGACACCAGGAAGTGTTGTATCATCAGAATGAGCAGGGTGGTAACGATTGAACTCTAATTAAAGAGGTCATGATGAAACGGTCCAGGAGAGCACCCACTCGGGAGTCCGTAACACAAAGTGGCATTTCTCGAGTAAAAAAAAAGAGTTGAAAGTAGCGGGGTGTGTCCAAGTAGCTAAGACTAAAAAAAAAAAAGCTTAATTAGTGGAAATAAAGAACTGATAAAAGTCGCATATTACATTTTCTTTGACTGGAACGAATACGCTTTCATTCTTATCTCCTTTCAGCACTTTCGCTGAGGATGTGTTGTTGGGTGGTTATTTACTGCGGGAAAAATGTTTCTTTTATGGAGTGAAAATTTCGAAAACCAATTTCGTTGTAATCAAAGCAGAACAGGCAGAAGATTGTTTTTATATACTGACGTAAAAACTTTTTAATGCTTCTTTCAGTAATTTATCTTGTTTTTAACTAATTCCAAAGAAGGCAGAAATGCTTTAATACTGTTCTCACGGTTTCAAATTGATAATGTCACAGCGTTTTTTTGTGCATTCGTTAACGGGACTGAGGAAGAAAAAGAATTTCGTCTGTGTAAATGTGCTGATTTGACAGAAATTACGTGCCTATCGCTGATTCAGATTAGGAATTCTTTTGTTTGTTTCATTTTTTCGCGCGTAAATTTTGTCCTTCAATTTTTTTATTTCTTTTCGCAACTTTTCCTTTTTCCCTGATTATTTTTCACGCTCGTTTCCTAGTTATATTCATTCTTTCTTTCGTTTCTATCTTTCTTTCTTCCTCTCTTTCTTTCACTTTAA